GTGTTAAATCATGTGAATAATAACTTATTATAATTGTCTTAACAGTAAGTATTGTGCTTTTAAAACTGTTTTATTGAAGATCTGAGTTCTAATCGACAATGCTGACAAATTCAAGTCTGTCGGTTGATTAAATCTTTGGTTCTGGCAGTTCTGTGTTCTAAGCTCATGTCAAGGCATTTGTTTACATTCAAGCGCGGTAGACTTTTGAATTTCTTCCGCCTGTTTCTTCGCCGTTAATTCCAGTCGGCCAAATATGCCAATGGCAGGATTTCGTCAGGTCTGCAGCAGGATTTGTCGGCAGATTGTCGACAGAATGCGCCATCAGAAAATGATGGCAGGTATGTCACGTGACCGCAAGCCTGCGTACTATTCAACTTTTGAAAGAATCGGATGCACTACAGAGACATTGTTTGTACGATTTACAGTCTTCGTATTTACCAGTATTTACTAATTCTTTGCAATTCTTCATTTCCTACATTTTTAATTTGAAATACTTTTTGTTTTATGCGTAATAATCAAAATGGTTAATTGCTGCGTCCGCGGTTGCCAAAATAAACCAGTCTGCAATGCACGAAAACCTAACCCTCAAAGGCCACCAATAACCTTTCATCGGTAAGTATAAAAACACTGAAATTACATAGGCGTTACAGAATAAATCGGTTACCCAACGTATTTTTGTTAATTAACAAATAATATAGAATAATATACTTTGGAAGAGTTTTTGTCTTTCACAGCAGATACAAGAAGAAGAAATTCTCCTACTCGTTTCCTCTTGTCTCAATCACCAGGTATCAAGCTCGATTTTTTAATTAAACCAACTCTTACTAATTCCAGCTCCATGTACCTTCCAAGTGTGTATACACATGTATTTTCCAGAAACATCTTAGAGAGAGTTCCTTCTATTCGGTCTAACACTACAAAGCTCCACATTAAATCTATCGAATTTATTACTACTGTACACGCTTAATAAAAACTGTATAAATTTCTGTTCGAAGTTGACTCTTATTGAATACAATAAACATCACCTCTGTGGAATACAACAATCTATTGACTATTCCAAACATATCTTGGTTACTGTGCTAATATAGTTATGTTAATATTTAGATTTCCATGCGATGAAAAGCGTAAAAAGCAATGGGCTGATGTTATAGGGATAGACGAGAAGGAAGTCCTTGAACAGACAAGAATTTGTTCTGTGCACTTTACGGAGGACATGTTCGACAGGAGAATGCTGTACACGCTCCTTCGAAAGCATGCTGTGCCTCAGGTAAGCATATGTACGGAAAGTGACAATATATAAATGAGTTCAATGCTTCCTGTGCCCCTTGAAGCGATGCAATTTTCGTTTGGAACGTTTATTTCTCTGAATAATTTATGAGACTCCTCTTGTATCATTGAGGAAATCTGGTGTACTTATTTATAATATCTTTTGGTAATTTTTTAGTTGCTTCTTAATGGAAAAAAGGTACCAATGTGTCCGTCAAAATCGATTGTAGTAATTGAAGACAGTTCTGAAGATATGGAAATTAATGTGGAGCAGTAAAATGTTACTTCAAAGCCAATAAAATCAACTGGCTCTAATGACTATACGTAAGTGAATGAAACACTGACGTTTACATAATTTTCAGAAATTGGTATACTAACAATACCGAGAAACAAGTAACCGAGTTAGTGTGACAGGGAAACAGCAGTTTCATCTACTATGATATTCAAGTGTCCAGGAAAGGCAGTATAGAGGAAACAATCTATTGATCAGCTAAAGAGATTTACTCATGAAATCCAAACGCTGCAACAAACATCAAGGTGGATAGAGAATGCAGTAATGGGATTGAAATATTTGAATAATTTTTATGAATAACAATCGTACGAGAACGTCCTTTCCTCTTTTCTGTAAGTATTCAATATTTTTGTTAAATTTATGCAAACAAAAATCTGGTTACGTTAATTTGACTAATTTGTTAAATTAAGATAATTTTGTTTTATACAAGGTGAGTCATCTAACGTTTGCACCTCAAATATCTTTGCTCTTTTTAAAGATACGTTAAATACAGGTAGCCCTCCTTCAACACGGCATCTTATAACACGGTTTCGCTATAACTCGATTCGTAAATTGCGCGAACCCTCCTACAACACGGCATCCTATAACACGGTTTCGCTCTAACACGATAAGAGAATTGCAAAAACCTTTGTAAAGTACTGTACTTCTACAGTCGCGGCGAGGCTTGCCGTCTTAAAGATACAATGTTGCCACTGAGATATAATTTAACATTAAACTGAGTTAATAATTTAACATTAAAAAAATTGAAAGAAGGCCTAAGCT